AATGCAGTACATGAGGAACAAAATATACATGACCCCGAAATGAAGTGGGGCTCACCAAATCAGCTGAAAAGAGTATACTGCTATCACTAATCAATATCACCTGATGAAGAACCACCTGCATCCATTAAAGATGCAGCGCCCCTAGCAAAAGAGATATTAGTATTGTCGAATAGCACTAGTATGTATAGCTAAAAATCCTCTTTTAAAAGAGAATGCCCATATAAAAAAAGGCAACACATAGAAACAACAAGTCATAATCAACAATATCCAAACGTCCAATTAAAACATAATAATTTTCAAAATGCGAACTTCATATATATAATTTTGGTTGGGAGATCATTAGCACTGATATACCACCGTCTTTGTTAGCACGGAGTCCGATCACGCCCGATCGGCTAGTCCATCTCCCCATGAATAATGTGGTTTGACATGTGATGCGAAAGAAAATTGTTACCAAGAGTAGTACCACCATATGCGCAATATGGCGTCTGATCTCCATCCGATCAGCTAGGCTGACTTCCCACATATGCTGTGTGGGTTGACTTTTCCAATCCACAAATGTTCTAGTTTCATCCCAATTAAGGGGAATAATATCACAATTTCCAAAAGTTCCAATTTCATCCCAAAATAAGGGAAATAATTCCAATCCACCCCTACACCGGCACGTGTAGTTTCAGGTGTAGGCCTTATGACCCACCCTTCCTAGGTATTGCTAATGATGCTCCCAAAAATATTTTTGATTTGATTTGCAAACAGAAATATCATAAATACAATTGTATTCACCTCAACATCTTTCACATTGTATAAATTCTCATTAGTATTTTCAGTCATTCGCAACGACAATATTTCCTTGGCTCATTAGGCCATTCACAAGATTCTTTATTCCTGGCACGATGGCCGTATTTCATATTTCACACTTTCACCTCTTTCAATTTCAAAGATCACCATCAAGTATCAACATATAAGATATTTCATAAAATCATATACTTCAAATTCATTTGAAATGAAAACTTCAAACACAAATGGTTTCTTCCCAAAGAATGAGGCATACCATCCACCAATAGAAACACATGAAAATCATAAACAATCAATACACCATTTATTCTTACAATGCTCATCCCTAACAATGACAATGTACCGGTTCAACACATGAGTATATAGAACTCGAATCACACTAGATATATTTATAAAGCAAAGCATTAGGTAAAGCAACCACTAATGGGTATGAATTAAGTACAAAAACTTTTAGGTAATTCTATCTTCGAAGTCATTTTTAAATAATTGAGTCGAGGCTCATTTCATATTCTTTATCACATCTTCTCAAATCATTTGCACTACTAGGCACAATCATAACTTAAATTTTTGGCACGTTGGCCACACTCTATATCCCCAATTAACTTATTTCACTTCCAATAATCTGTATAGATTATCAACAATAAGATATTTCCAAATCAAGACTTTAGATACACATATGAGCAATTAAGAGTCTTAATAATATTAAAATTTTCTCACACAATTTGTCATACTATCTTTCATTGAAGCACGACTCAAAGCCATAAACTTTTAATACGCAACCCATACTTTAAAACTTACGAAAACATTATGGAATTCAATTCCAAGAGAGAAAGTTAAGCCAACATACCTCAATCGAGCTTCCTTAACTCTAGAATGATCCGGAATTCTTAGCGATCCTGATCTATTTTGAGACATAACAAAATTGAACCATAATTAGGAAGATATTCATGGTCTCAGCTCATTTGAGCATTTTATCAGACACTAGGTGTGCAAATTTAACCACAAGGTTCTTTTACAAGATTTTCTTCACTCCACAACCCAATCCTTACTTATTTCAGCTGAACAATCTTCCCACAATTCTTATTGGTACATGCATGTATAAATAATAATCTCATACCCATGAATCATACTCCTAATCAACCATCTTCTACCCAAATTCGAAATTGAAAACTAGGGTATGGAACCTTACCTCTTAAATAAAGAACTTATGGGTTTTCCTTGTTAATCTTCCAAGATTTGAGCAAGACTTGATGAATAATTAACCTAGGGTTTTCTTCTCTCTCTAAAACCCTCTCCATTCTCTCTAAAATATTAGAATTTTGCTCAAAAATGACCCAAAGCGTGTATTTAACGAAGTAAGGTCGGGTTTTAAAAATCCAAAAATGGAGCTCCGAAACAGGTTCTGTGGTCGCATATGCGACCACATAATGGATATGCGGACCGCATATCGGTCGCATAATTACACACCAAAACGATCAAAAAGTTGTCCGTGTATGCGGTCACTATACAGTCCGCATAACTGTTATGCGATCGCATAATGCACCGCATAACAGTTATGCGGTCGTATAGCCGACCGCATAATTGCCCCCAGACTGGCCCTTCTCCTGCTCACTTCTGTGACCATTATGCGGCCCGCAAAGTGATTATGCGGTCGCATAATGGACCGCATAAACACGCTTTTCCGTCAAAACTTTTTCTTTACTTTTTGGTGCATTGTTCAACCCAAAAAGTTCGAACCGCGGCTTGCAAGCTCGCCGTGAAGATTTTATACCATCCTCAAACACTTAAGCCTACTCCGGCACCACGAAACCTTGAATTCACTTGCGAAATTTACGGGGCTTTACACTGAAATACTTCAAAATTTTTCAGGGTGTTACAACTTCATTCTTGTTCCCTAAAGAGAATGTGGTAGCAATATGTGATAAGTATGAAAGAAGACAAAATTATTACCGTGAAGGTATCAATGGATGTGGACGTGGCAATAAACGGAATTATAATCGTCATCATTGTGGTAATGAGAACAATAACGATTCTCAAAATAATCCTTCACTCTGTGAAAGTAACATTTGTCATCGATTTGACATGAGATTTTATAAAGCACATATAGATGATTATGGTCCATTCATGGTGTGAATGTGACGCCATGTGCTTTATGAATACATATTCATTCTTGAAAGAATATAAATGCGCTAGTGGTAGTGAATATACCACACTCACCTCTAGAAGGATGTTTGAGAGGAAATAAGAAAATAATGTCATTATTATGGCATGAATGATCATTGGTCACGTACCTATTGTACGCCAAAATATTTTGGCAATGTGATTATTAAAGGACAACAGTAATGCAAGAAACATATCTTGCATATAATTTTGACCATGACCATAATGGTATAACTTTCTCTTTGAGAGAGATATTCACTTTATGGATGTTGATGAATATATGGTACTACAAAACTAATTGAGAGCTCTAGAAGAGCCAACTAGTACTATTTTGGAGGAATACAATTGATTATCAATAAGGTATTGTGTCGCAGTAAGTCTCAAAGAAACTTATTGGGTTTCTAAAGTATTCGCTAAAACGGTTAGATATATGAGACTAAAAATAAATGAAAGATTTAATATTTTCTATTACTACAACTTGTAGCGGGGTAATATGTATGTGAAAGCTATCCGCTTTATTCTCCAGTTTGTACCACATAAATAAAAGTATGCCACAATAAAGTATAAGTTTATTAATATAACAACCCATATCATAATAAACTTGGAGTTTATTGATAATTGCACACTCATGGTATAAACCTGAAGTTTATCAATATTGCTAATTTATTCAGTTGGTACAATTGGTTTAACCATGTTAATTTAAGTATGATTTGCAAAAATAAAAGAGAATTCACATGGGTAAATATTAAAGAATTAGAAAGTTCTTTACAAATTCTCTCATGTTGTTTGTTCTCATTAATTAATAGACCAACTAAAATTGGGATTGAATCCCATGAATGCTTAAAATATCAAAGGTGAATATGGGCTCATTTACCTACCATGTATACCACATAAGATGCATATATGGGATGGTTACATGTGCGATTGTTATTATCTGCAACCTGGTGTTTGCGAGGTAACTTGCTCAACAATTTAATTTAGAGCATAATTTTTAGATTTTTTATTCAAGACAGTTCATCTTGATAGGTTGGTTTAATTCACAATTGGTTTAGCAAAATAATGTATTGAGTGCCTCCACTTAATAGCTAAACTATTTATTATTAGAACAAAGTTATCTATATCAGTTTGATATACGTTATATACGAAAGTATGTTACATTCTCCCCTCAAAAGTGGTTCAGGGTCAGGAACCAAATAATTCCATCTTATTATTATTGTTATGCGGTGTATATTTTGATTAACACTATAACGCACAAAGGTTAGTTTCCAAAGTTGAGGAAGCAAGTTAGTGGGCGTTTGGACATAAGAATTGTAAAATTTCAAAATAGGGGGAAAATTTTTTTCAAGTGAAAATGGTATTTGAAATTTAGAGTTGTATTTGGACATGAATATAATTTTGGGTTGTTGAAGTTTTGTAAGTGATTTGAGTGAAAATTTTGAAAAACAGTTTTTTTTATAGTTTTTCAATTTTTTTAAAATTTCCAAAATGCATCTTCAAGTGAAAATTAGAAATTTTATGAACAAACGCTGATTTCGAAAAAAAATAAATTTTTTTTGGAAAAAAGAAAAAAATTTCTTATGTCCAAACGAGCTCTTAGTTTTTCTAACATGAGGGGGAGACATGATAAACAGTTGAGAAAAAGTTACGTGGAATAAATTATCATTTGTACCTCTAGATCCTCGAAGATAATATGAACTTGAAGTTCATAAAAAGATAATTCATCTGCACTATATTGTAAAGCATGGCAGACGCATTTGCTGACCCAAAGAAAGTAACTATATTCTCACTGCAAATGCTCCTATTAGAATAAGTCCTGGAAGGACAAAGTCTATGATACGTTTAAAGCGTATAGACAAATCGGTTTCAAATAACATTCTTGATAAAGAAGATGAGCAAATGATCAAAATGATCATAATAAGAAGGCAAGTGACCTAGAAGATCACATGACATAACACTTAATAAAATCTCAGGAGAGATTCAGGTACCTGAAAGTATGAATGAAGAGATATCTATGTTATGTCTTTATGAGAAAAAAAATCCAATAGTAACATTCCCAACTGGAGTGCTTGGTCTTCATCACTGAAGATTGGTCATCTGTTTTACTTAAGATAAAAAACTTACAAATTATTTTAAAAGGAGACCTGAAAAGTGGAATAATAACCATACATCCATTATACACGGCACATTTTGTTCTTTGTTCTAAAATAGACCATTTTCTGCCGAAAGTGGCTCATAATAACAGAAGCTCTATGTACTTTGATCATGGTCATCCTAAATCTCCACAACTATACACCAAAGCCTCCACAATCATGTGTATTCTAAGGACATTGTGCAGGAAAACATGATTTGTAGTCTCTCAAAATGACGGAAACCCAAGCTGTCATTTTCTCTTAAATCAGGAAAAAGATTTCTCATATATTCAAATCTTGCATAGAGCAGAGCATGAGCATGCTCGTGGCCAAATCTAGGAACCTTCTCCACCCTTCTCGTCCTCTGGATCGTAAGGCACCTCATGCCGAGGCCTGTTGTATTTCTCGCGCAGCTGCTTGATTGGTATGAAATCTCCAGCAGCATCCATCCCGAAGAATAAGAATGAGGTGTAGGGATGATCAAATCTATCCTACACACGTGTTCCATTTTTAACCAAGTTAGAGATCGAATAACAACTTCGTCTGTATTTTTAGATTGGCTGGATACATACCTTATCTGGTTCGCTGGGGGCCACTAAACTTTCCTCAGGAACTGCAAGATGAACAATTATCAGACTTTTCTAAGAGGTTGATATTTTACAATTCAACAGAGTATATGACCTTAGCTCAGACAAGATTATCTAATTATAAGAAATGCTTATTCATGGTGTCAAATTTCACTTACCATATGCAACTAACAGATTGGGATCTGTATGTACATCCACCAGCACCTGAAAACATGTCGAATCAAAGCTAAATAGGTCTGAAGTATTACATAAAGAAGAATATAACATGGAGCAGCAGCGCTTTCGGTCCCTCTAATGCAGCAAAATGCGAGCTGAAGTTTGAAATGTGGATTAGGATCAGGAACTTGCAGTATGCTTAAGAAGTTCTCTAAACAAACCCTCCTGCAGAGTTGACACGCCTTTTTTTTGGCCAGAAGACGCAAGTAAAGGAAAGTCAACAAGACAACCAGACTTTTGTTTGTACCACTAAAATGTTTCTCTGATGAAGCTCAAACAGATTTGCTCTGTACGGTATCATTCCGGCACCTTAACTCTAATATGAAAATTTTTCACAACTCAGAATCAATTTTTGAACTTGTTTGCACTTTTCCTAAAATGAGGGTCTAAAGGTAAAAGTACTTTTCTGTGTTTGTACTGCCAAGTGAGCCAGTGATGAAAAGTTGTCACGTATAGTTGATGCTACAGTAGCTAGTTACTGAGCAGTTGCTAGAGGACCACACCAAAGTTGGTAAATTATCAGGTCAATGGGGATAGACAACATCTCATAATTCCCACAAGATGATGAAACCAGGAAGTGGGACTTCTAGAGCATAAGCAGTAAATTAAACTTCAGATATAAGGAGGATAGTGGATTAGAACCTGAACAAGTAGTTGACGATTTGACATATGCAGTTTAAAAAAGTTATTTGGTCTTTTCTTCGGGATGTGGCTACAAAGTATCACTGACAATACCAGATCATGTTCAGAATTCAGATAGATGAATTGGATTGAGAATGGGAATGAGGTGATAAATCTTTGTTTGCAGCAGGAAACACGAAATTTATGTTAGAAGATCTAGGAAAAAACTGAATTTTTTTATCTGATAAAAAAATGCGAAAAACCTGATAAAATGGCTGATCAGGACCACGGCTCAACTTATCAACTTGAGCAGTTTCCATCCATGAACTTGATTCACAACACATTGGGTCCATCCCACATATTACACCACGATATCCTGAAGTCAGAAGATCAGGTTGCAATACTATAAACAACTTGAGCAACACTTACTAATCAAGCTGAATCTAGGGTTCCATAAATGTCAGTTAAGAGAACATATTTTCCCCAGAAGGAAGCAATATGTTGCCAAATGAATACTTATATCAACCTATACATTAAGACACTAGATATCCGTGCAAGTCGACTTGCACAGAAGGAAACATATTAGAGGCTCTTCCTGATCTTGTATCCTCAAAGGTCAAATTAGCAAAGGTTTGATCACTTTGTGAGGTTCAGTCCAGTAGTTCATGCAGTTTCAATAAAAAGAAAAATCCAATGGCTGGGAAATAATCATATTATCAAGATCCGATGATCCCACAAAGAAACTTCATACTAGGTTCTCAAATTATATATCACTTTTAGCTACAACTCAGTTATATGAAGAACCTAGCTGAACTTTTACATCATTTTTTTTAAAACATTGGAGTGTCTTTGAATTTTAAACAAGCTGTTCCTTCCGTTCCACCTTATAGACCTACCACAGAATTTTTATCCTTTTCTCCTCGTCAGCTTTACCATTTTTTCCCTTCAGTTCGTGTGCAAATAATGACAAGCATGATGATCATGCCTACTTTGACCCAAAAAGTATGCAAAACAAGCTTCTTGTTGAACCCAGTGTGCATAAAGTAACTTTCAGCTCAACAAAAATGTAGTATTAATTAGCTTTACACAGTTCATTTGCACCATGTAGTATTAACATAAAGAAACATTCCCCACTGACAACAGTTTAGGATACCCATGCCATAGACAAGTATCTGCCGCAACTTCTCCTAAATGATAAAACATTAATGTGCAAAACAAAACCTTAGTTAAAGCTTCCATACCAAAATTCTTGTGTCTCACTTTCTGGCCTAATCGAAATGCATATTCCACATTTACATAAGCCTGAGCTCTTATTGATGCAGTTAGAGATTCTGCCTCCAGTTTGGAAATTTCGTCTCGTAATTTAGCCGCCAAATCATAGTTTTCACTCTGAACTGCATTTTGCAGGTCTGCACTGGATGAAGCAAAAAGCTGATCAGAGGTAAGCTCAAGAGATGATGTCTTTGGAACATACTAAAGGTAGAATCTTCATAACCAGTTCGACTAATCCTTGAGATTCAGCACTCAAAGCTCATAAAAAAAAAGAGTGAGGATGCTTACCGTAGACGCAAGATGCTTATGGCCATATCTTGAGCTTCACTCTTTGAGGCCGATCCCCTTCTGGACTCCTGCTGCTTCAAAACCTCTGATTCCACCTTCATTAGCATATAAGAAGCGTGCCGATTCTAGTCAGTAAACAATTTTCGCTAATCCATTGGCTTGTCTTTCAGACATCCAAAATCCAATAAAATTACAGGAAGAACAGTGGCAACAGTTGCTTAATATTTTTAATGGAAAATCAGGTAAAAATGAGATGAAATAGGAAAATTAAGATCTCCATATTCCAACCTCAGTAAGCTTCTCTCTTAGTTGTTGTGCAATTTCATACTGCTCCACGTTCAAAGCATACTGTGAATAAAGCAGGATAGACAACTGGTGAAGCAACGGTTGAACACATACCAAATAAAACTACAACAAATCATAGAGCTAGATGGCAACCTGCACGCGTGTAGCCAGGTCCAGCTGGAAAAAGAACATCAAGATATCTTCATTGGCACTCTCACTACGCTCACAACCTGCTTCTGAGCCTTGATCGCCTCCTTTAAACAGCCATCCAGCTTGAGCTCTCAAATTTCTTGGCTTTAGCATATCAAAGTGGGTATAAAAGGACAAGCTTTTCCGACAATCATTCCAAACAAAATGACTTTCACCAAAACCAGTTGCGGCTTCTTTTATCTGTCCAAAATGCGTCCTCAGATAGGTGGATCCACAACCTCCGCAATATCTAGAAGTAGCAAGAGTACTCATTGACATAGTTTGCAGCATGTCTACTGTTCAGGATAACCCCTCCTTCACCTAACTCCTTCCTTTCTGTTCAATCTACTTCTGAAATACAGTTATTCTTTTTCAAAGTTTCAACTTCAGCATTTCTGTAGTCAATTTATGAAACTATATATTAGTACTGCCTTTTAGGGAAAAAAAAATAGCCTGGTGACCTGAGCTCCTGCTATGCGCGGGGTGAGGGAGAAGGACCGGACCACATCAGGTCTAAGGTATGCAGCCTTAACACGGCGGCAAGTTTTACCATTGCACCAATTATACCCTTCATACTGTCGTTTAGAATTTTACTTTTTTTAAAAGAAAAGGAGAACCCTTGTCAAAGCTTCACAAAAACCCTAAATATTTATCATTTTACAATACACCTCAATCCGAAACTAGTTTGAGTCGACTATATGAATCTTCTATATCATAACATAACTACATTAACATTCATTGAAAATGATTAAGCTAAAGAAAGAACTTCTAAATTGGAATTAGAGTATTTCTACAATTCAATTCTGGGAAACTAAAATCACATAACTGCCGTCTGCCTTGCATAATTAAAGTTCAAAAAATAAAAGAAAAACAGAATATATAATGTAAAATCTTATACCTCAGAGTTTAAGTATTTGTAACTGAATAAAATAATACTCACTAGCTGAAAGATCACTGGAGAAGAAGAACGGAGTTCCACAGCTCGAGGACTAGGCGTCTGAAAATGGGTGTTCCCTGTTAATTGGCAATTGGTGTCCACTAAATTTCATGCTACCCCCCATTTATATTTTGTGTTTATTTTTTCATTCTTTTTTCAATCTCTGCCCCTTGTCTTTCCCAACTATGGAAGGGGTTGTATTTTTTAGAAATTTATTAAATCTGTATATATACTTTAATTTTGAACTCAATAAATTCAAAATCAACAAATTTCAAATTCTGACTCCGTATTACATAGATCCTTTAATAAAATTCCGCTGAAAAAATGGACGCGTATTTGTGTTTTACTGCAATGTTTAAACCATATTGTAATGCTAATTAGTTATATTTCAGTGGTCGTTACTCTTCTCATATGCTTAGCAAAGCATATTAGCCATTTTCTTTTGTTATTTTCAAGGTGTAATTGTTTTGTTGTACTTGTGGGGCTTTTTACTTGATAAAAAATTTACCCACAAAATAGATCTGAAGAATGGAAATTTTTTAACTGAAATTTATGTGAAGAAAATTAATTTCGGTTCTCTTATATGACACAATATTTTATTTCTGTTGAAGTTATTTTGTGTTTGGTTGTTAAAATCGTTCAGAATGTTTTTATTAGAAAAATTACACATTTAATGCGGAGAAACAACTTAGATCTAATCAGTTGATTTTATCAATATAGAATTGTTTTCAACCTGTTGCTCATAATCCCAGGACTTGCTATAACTTCCAGAGAGGACAATATGGTCAAGTTCATAGTAAAATATTTCAAAGATTACTACATATTCAATCAAATTATAAAAATAAATAATTACATGGAAAATGTTACATGAAGGGACTATTTATTGCCACACGAGACAAGACACATTGTTTCAATAAATAAATAAAATTACAAAGAAAAAAGAAATAAACAAATGCCACTAAATAACTACCTTGATATAAGAAAGATATAAAAGACAACAAGCTCATAGATTGCAAGTTGCTCCATATCAAGTTGCTCGTTGATAAACATATTTAGTTCTAGGATCCACTATTAGTCCCTTCCCTCCATTTACTTCCAAATCATGCCTGCAATCAAAAGATGAGTTGTAGTTCAAGTTCCCTTTACAAGAAGGGAGATTGATCGTTGCTACACAAGCAGATTCACGATTTAAACTTTGATCGATTCTATCTTTATGTTGCTACTGTTTAACCCATTGAACGTTTGAATTAAGGGTCCGGAGTTCAACATCTATCGAAATCTCAGTGTGTGTGTGTGTGTGGGG